CTGGTTTTCCTGGAGTACTATATCCTCTCTCTGGAATCCCATTTCCCCTGCAAAAGTCACTCAGCAGAAGTCCCACATTCTGTTCCCTCCAATACAGGGTTGGGGAGGTCTGAGTCCTCTTCCCTGCTCTTGGGCCTCTCCCAGGCCACCAAGCAACAGCAACCTCCACCCTCATTGCCCCCCAAACCTGGTCATTTCAAGTCCATTACTGGAGGATTTCAGCATCTGATTCAGCTGTTCCTGCAAGAACATCCACAGGTGCATTGGTATGACTTATTGAATATAAGGCCCTTTGTAGATGTAGGTTTAAACCACTTCACATTTAATGATGCAATAAGTTATTTGTGTCCTCAAATACAAGGTATGTTGGACTATTTTCCAGTCTCCTAGATATTGTAATACTCCCTCCTCTGTGTTACCTGATCAGCTCATCCTCATTTTTCAGTTCTCAACTCTGGTTAAGGTCTCTGGTTCCCCCCAATTGGCATCATTGTTGCTCCTTTAATTTGTTCTTGCCCCTACACTCAGCACCATTATGGTAGTTCTGTTTCATCTGTTTGCACATCTGTCTGATGTTTTCAGGTCAGCGACTGTGTCTTCCCCCTTCCTAGGGCCAGCCCCTAACTGTAGCTCCTGATCTATATATTAAATGCTCAATAAAAGTCTGTGGAATGAATGAAACAGTCACACCGCACTCAATGAGTCACAAATATCACTTCAGCAATTCAAACTCATTTATATAATAAAGTTATAAAAGTCATTGAAAAAACATCAAGTTATCCAAAGAACAACATTGCAAGTGAACTAAAGGACTGTGTCTCAGATTACTTGATAACTCAGAGGATAAGAATTCCCCCAGTCCTTCTAATCTTAGGTTGCTTTTGGAAGTGACCATAGCCCTGGGAAACAAAAGGGACAGTGTACTGGGAGATCAAAGTGGAAGCCACAGTGGCTACTGGACAATAGAACCCTCACTGGACCCAAGCTATTGTTGTCACAGGAGCTGGGGGACTGGGGTTCTACTACATCAGGGTGGGGTGTTGCTGTGCTTTGATTGTCCCTACCAAAACGCATGCTGAACTTCATCCCCAGTGTCAGATATGAAGAGGTGGGACCCTCAAGAGGTGATTGTGGGGCTGGGGATGTGGCTCAAGTGGTAATGTGCTCGCCTGGCATACGTGCGGCCCTGGTTCAACCCTCAGCACCACATACAAACAAAGATGTTGTGTCCGCTGAAAACT